GCGGCCCCGGTGGCGCCGGAGCAGCCCGGGGCGGGGTTGAGGCGGGGGGAGCGGGGCCTGCGGCGGGTCATGGCTGGCTTCGCCCCTTGCCGAGGGTCCCGCTGAGCCGCTTCTGGCCGTCGCGGCAGGGAGTGCTGCTTCTCTGGGGCTCCTGGTCCCGGCCGTCTACGTGCTGCGTTGGGCGTTATTCCCGGCTACAAACCTGACAGTAATCCTTCGGCCTGTAGCCCGGCGTAGTTTGTCCTGGGATTAAACCCTGCTGGAGTTACGGGAGGCGGTTGCCGTGTGTCTGCGTCTGAAGTCACAGCGAAGGAGTCAAGTCTCTGAATGAAACAAACGTTTCCAAAAAAAAGCAAATAAAACTGTAGTACAGCAGGTCAGTGCTGGGAGATGCCGCTGAAATCACGGCCGGTCTCCATGGGGAATCTCCTTACGCTACTGGGCCCTGACAGAGGCGAAATGTGGGAAGTATGCAATTTTTCCACTTAGTCTTAACAGCAGTTTTTGCATCATTTCAATATTCAAACTGCTGTAATGAAGGCATCTTAGAGCTAGGTAAATCTTTTAAGTTCTACATTTTAGTTATGAGGGAGATGAAAATGCAGCAGTGAAACGCTTCAGTATGTTGAAATGCTTGTAGTGCTGAAGACAGTGCTCATAAAATGACTTTTTACATTTGCTTTATCACAGAGATTTTGCAGTTCTCTAGCGCAGAGTAACCGAGAGAAACTGGTTGAGACTATCACTCAAGCACTGTACGCTTGACAGAGAACTGTTAGGATGGGAAATAGTGCATTAAAAGCCCACCTGGAGACAGCACAGAAAACTGGTGTGTTTCAGCTAACTGGAAAGGGACTTACAGAGGTAATGTAACTGTAGCAGAAATGTGGCTCTTTGTGTGCGTGACTGACACTTTTGGAAATTCCTACCTCATTGTCACAATGCACTGCATACATGTATTTCTCATAAATAGCGACATTAGTTCAAGAATATTTTCTTTTCCTTTGTGCAGAGCAGATTTGTGCTTGCACTATCTTCTGATTGAGGATTGATTTATCTGACAGGGCACTTGTGTGCTTATGAGCTTATGCTTTAGAGTGCATGTATGTTCAAGAAGTACTAGTTATGATGTTGTGCTTTTTAAAAAAAGGGCTGTAAACTTGAGGGAAAAAAATGTAAATTTTATAACCGTATCGTTACCTAGAAAGATACTCCACAATTTGCCGCGTATAGATACTTATGCTGTATTTAATTGTAGTTATATGCATAGTCCGTACAGGCTGTTCACTGGGCTGCAAGCACGTTGAAGTTTATTATATCAGAAATTGTCTTGACTTTGACTCAACTGCAGAAAACCACAGAATGTCCTGGAACCATAAGTCGAGTAACAATTCACAGGATAGCCAAAATAACTCTATATTGCAGTAATTTTCCAAGACTTTTCTGAAGTATCTTCTTCCACTATCCTACCTTCTCTCTTCCCTTTTCCTCTGCCAAACCAAAGGAGAATCAAAACCACTGGCCTATTGACCAGTACTTGCTGATGGTGATTGTTAGGTTTTTCTTTTTTTCAGCTCAGTGCCAAGTCCAGATTAAAGTACTACAGGATGTAAATAAGGAAAATGGTTTACATAATTATTTAAAAAAGAAAGCAATAGAAAAATTTCCCAGTCCTACTCTGCTAAAATATAGAGTTGTTAACTAGCTGTAGAATATTTTTTTAATGACAGGCATGTTTAAGAGAAACACACAAGAAGACTAAAACATAAATGAGCTTGTGTCATGATATACTTACTTCTCCCTTTTTAATTTAAATTCTTTGGACTAAAAACGACTCTTCCTAGATGTTAGACTGTCTCCTTTATATCCCTTTTCCCTTCCTCAGATGAAAAAATATTTTAAAAAATATGTATTAAGCAAATTTGCCAACTTAGTTGCACACTGTGGTGACTGGGCATTGTGATACATATGACAGTATGTAATAGCGATACAAATTTCAATTTTAAGCTGTGTAACTTGAACATTTGAAGTTGTAGCAACTGTTTAAATGCTGTATCTTTTTTTCTTCCCCGTAGTTTCCTGAAGATCTGCAGAAGCTAGTAAGCAACTTAAGGACAATAGACTTGTCGAACAACAAAATAGAGCTCTTGCCGCCACTCATTGGAAGATTTTCCATTTTGAAGAGCCTTGTTCTAAACAACAACAAACTGAGTATGCCTGCTAATTAATATCTCCACAGATTTTAAAAATAATAACCTGACTTTTCTGATCAGAAACTAAATTAAATGATTTAACTCTCACAGGATGTAAATGGGGAGTTTAGTCACCTAAGCTGAAACCTTTGGAATTCATGTACAGGAAAAAAACCCCAAACCCATAAATTCTTCAAAACTAGTTGCCAACTTAGTTGTATTATCAGTTTTACAATGACATGTAAGTACTTAAAACCGTAATGTTTCTGTGCTCTGACTTGTCTGATCTCAAGGTTTAACAGTGTCAGATGGTTTAGTACTTGCATAGAGAACAGGGGAAGATGATGATGAAGATCTGTAGAAAATATTGCTGGCCATTCAATGGTTGTTACTGTTTCTGTTGGACAAACGTCCAAATTTATGGAAAAATTAGGACGAGGTGAAGAAACTAACTTTTTTATGTGTTAATTGTGTATTATCTGCCTTTCTGAAAAACAAATGTAATTTACAAACATCTTTGACTCTATAGTGCAACTCAGGAGTGCTACAGGTTATACACGTGTAGGTAGAATGCGGGATGAATGAATGCCAGCAGAGCTTACCTGGTGAGGCTTAAATGCTGGTATGATATGGTATGAATTACCTGAGAACTTAAGTTTGAGTAAATACCTTTAAAGGGCTGCAGCAGACCTGAAGCTGTGAATTGCGTGGTACTTCAAATGTCATAGAATACATTGGCAAAGTGGTTAGTAAGGAGTATAAGTGATTGGCTAAAATCCTCTCAGAGTAGTGTCTTCAGCCTGTGATTTGAAGGTCTGCTTTGTCTGCAGATTATTTTTAAGATATTTATGAAAGATGGTTAAAAAGCACGTGTTGTCACTGGGCTTAAGTTTCTGTGCAGGGATCTGTGCCTTCATCGGAAAATGGGGAGGAATCCTGTGAGAAATTACTGTAATATAGCACTGTTTTCTGTGCAGAAGGTTACTTGAATTAAATGGGTATGAATGTTTACTGTTCTTTAAGTCATCTCTTTGTTCTGTCATTTATTTCTAGCTGCTTTACCTGAGGAGCTGTGTAAACTGAAAAAACTGGAAACACTACACTTGAATGGCAATCACTTGAGGCAGCTACCATCTGCATTTGGACAACTTTCAGCTCTCAAAACCTTGAGCCTTTCTGGGAACCAGCTTCGGACTGTGCCTACACAACTCTGTGGTCTTCGCCACTTGGATGTGGTAGATCTTTCCAAAAACCAGATCCAAAATGTGCCCGACACTGTGGGAGAATTGCAGGCTATCGAACTAAATTTGAATCAGAATCAGGTCTGGTAACTGAGATATTATGGGCATGTAGATTTAGGGCATGGTTTATCTTGGACTTAGTGCATCCACAGAACATACATAATCTGAGACCATCAAAACTTTATAGCTAAAAGACATCTCCTGGACACAACAGAAATGAGGGATCATAACTAGAATTTAGGTACTGATACAGCCAACTGCCTGATTTGACTAACTAACAAATCCTCAATTTAGTCACACAGAAATTATTTGAACAGTTCTTGAGTAGGAATCTGAAAAATAGATGTGTAGATTGCCTGTCATCATGGAAGAAAAAAAAGTTACTTGGATTTTTGATCATTATTATTGCTGCTTACGCATTGTTGTTAAGTAGTTACTGTTAATGTAGTTTATATTTACAACATGGTAATTGTCCGTGTTAGTCTGAAACAAATCCCTTTAATCATGGATCACT